GAGAGAGACAGAGACACAGAGACACAGAGAGACAGAGACACAGAGAGAGAGAGAGACAGAGACACAGAGAGAGAGACAGAGACACAGAGAGAGAGACACAGAGAGAGAGAGACACAGACAGAGACACAGAGAGAGAGACACAGACAGAGACAGACAGAGACACAGAGAGAGACACACAGAGAGAGAAACACAGACAGAGACACAAAGAGAGACAGACAGAGAGAGACAGAGACACAGAGAGAGAGACACAGAGAGAGATACAGAGAGAGAGACACAGAGAGAGACAGAGAGAGAGACAGATGCAGAGAGAGAGACACAGAGACACAGAGAGAGACAGACAGAGAGACAGACAGAGAGAGAGACAGAGAGAGAGACACAGAGACACAGACACAGACAGAGACACAGAGAGAGACAGACAGACAGAGAGACAGAGAGAGAGAAACAGAGAGAGAGAGACACAGACAGACACAGACAGAGACACAGAGAGAGACAGAGACACAGACACAGACAGACACAGACACAGAGAGAGACACAGAGAGAGACACTCACACAGACAGAGACAGAGACAGAGACACAGAGACACACACAGACACAGACACAGACAGAGAGACACAGAGACGCTCACTGCACTGGATGGAGGAGAGTTTGGAGGTGAAGGGGGCTGCTATGCTCGCGTCTCCCAGCTTCACCACCTGGTGCTGCTCCTCGTCCAGCTCCCGCAACAGCTGATTGAGACGCTCCTGCAAAAACAAGCACAAGATAAAGATCCCCCGTGTAGCCTGTGACACTGTTGAGGGGCAAGTGCTGTTGGCGAGCAGCTACTTCAGAAGGCCGGAAACGGCACAAACAGGGGGTGGGGGTGGCCGGCACCCACGCCCGGCCGCCTTTGTCTCCCTTTGCGGCAATGTTTACACACTGCTCCAGGTACTCATTTGAGGCCGAGTGGACCTAGGGGAGGCACAGGACCGGGTCAGGTAAGAGTTGTTTGGCCGCGAGCGGGACTCGAACTCGGGTCATAGCCGGGTTCGTAGCGCAGCGTGGCGCTAACCGCTGCACCACCGCTCCCCACAATCTGGCATGAAGACAGAGTCGCCGGTCCGATTACCGTATTTTCCCGCATATAACCCGCGGGGCAAACCACTTTTTGCAAACAAAACAACACCCTGGCGGGTATATGGAGGTGCGGGCTATCTGAAATTAGTTTTACACAAGACGCTATTTTTGCGGGGTATACGCGTCTGCGGGTTACATTATTATATGCGTGTACTGGGCTAGATGCGGGAAAATACGGTAGACCTTAAACTGTGAGCCGAACCACCCGGTTTATTTTAGCAGGTAAGGGCCATCGGTGTGGTGTAGAGATCGTTTTTTTTATATATGTATATCAGAAGCGACCTGGCCACACGTAATGAGAGCGAAGAGGCTCATCACCATCACCATCATCACCATCGTCGTCGCGTGGAAATTTATAACGGCGGTCAAATATGCACCAAACACGTGGCGAGAGAGAGAGAGAGAGACGCCGCAAATTCCAAAATATACAGCAGCAGCGGGCGTAAGGTTCGTGATCGAACCCACGACCTCCTGCACACCAGGCGAGGTAGTTAACATCTCATAGCCACCGTGATGATGATGAGAGAGAGAGAGAGAGACACCGCAAACTCCAAATAAACAGCAGCAGCAGCAGGCGTCAGGGTCTGGGATCGAACCCACGAACCTCCTGCACGCCAGGCGAGGTAGGCAACATCTGGCCAATCCCCGAAAACACCGATAAACAATCCTCACGTCACCTTCTGCGACGCCAGCTGATCTTCCCTCTTCTGGGCAAAGTTCCCCCGGTGTTTTGCCGAGCGGCCGGTTTGGGTCTTCGCGATAGCCGGTCCGGTGTTGGCGGAGACCGCCGCCGCCGCCGATGATGATGATGGCGGCGTGAGTGATCCGGCGCTGTTTGCCAAGGAGTGTTTAGCGTCGACGATTTCTCCATCCCGGCCTCTCTTCGGTCTCCTCTCCGGCATTCGTTCCGGGGCGTTGGCCAACAGCGCCACACCTGCGGGCGGTGCGGTTAAGTTTAAAAGTCCCTCGACCTCCTGCCTGGTGTACAGGAGGTCGTGGGTTCGATCCCCGACCCTGACGCCTGCTGCTGCTGTATATTTGGAGTTTGCGTCTCTCTCTCTCATCATCATCATCATCACGGTGGCTAGGAGATGTTGACTACCTCGCCTGATATACAGGAGGTCGTGGGTTTGATCCCCGAACCCTTACGTCTGCTGCTGTATATTTGGAGTTTGCGTGTCTCTCTCTCTCTCATCATCATCATTATCACGGTGGCTAGGAGATGTTGACTAGCTCGCCTGGTGTACAGGAGGCCGTGGGTTCGATCCCAACCCTGGCGCCTGCTGCTGTATATTTGGACTTTGCGTGTCTCTCTCTCTCTCTCATCATCATCACGGTGGCTAGGAGATGTTGACTACCTCGCCTGATATACAGGAGGTCGTGGGTTCGATCCCCGACCCTTACGTCTGCTGCTGTATATTTGGAGTTTGCGTGTCTCTCGCTCTCTCCCCGTGGTCATACGGATTTTTCCCCGGGCCCTCCGGTTTTTCCCTCCGCATTTAGAATCGACGTCACGCCTTTAAGAGTACCTGGGCTGCAATAAATTTCCACACAACAACGACGATGATGACGATGATGACGACGATAACGACGACGACAATGACGACGACAACGACGAACCACTTCGTTGGGCTATCATTTGTGATGGCCAGGGTTGCTTCTGAAGATAAAGATCTACGTAGCTCACTGGGGCCTGACACCTGGCAAAATAAATTTTAAAAAATACTTTGTCGCTCACGTTTAGCACCGCTACGGCTGGCACGCAACACCGCGGCATGAACCAGGGCGACCGCCAGACCCAGTTTGCCACCCACGCGACTTGGCATTGCACTTCGCAGGCACGTGGGCATCGCTCACCGACATCGGCGTGCTTCAACGCTCCCACATCATTCGTCCCGTCCCCGCACATGAGCGTCACGTAGCCCAGGCTCTTGAGACTGGTGATCACGGATTCCTGGGTGACGCGCGGGGAGAGGACGACAGAGATGCAAGGCGGACACGGGCGCACGCAGGCAGACACACACGCAGACGGACACACGCGCAGACAGACAGACACACGGGGACACGCAGACAGACACACACAGACAGACACACACAGACAGACAGACACACGGGCACACGCAGACAGACACACAGACACACGCAGGCAGACACACACGCAGACAGACACACACACACAGACAGACACACGGGCACACGCAGGCAAACACACACGCAGGCAGACACACACGCAGACAGACACACACACAGACAGACACACACGCAGACAGACACACACACAGACAGACACACACACACAGACACACACACAGACAGACACACGGGCACACGCAGACAGACACACGCAGACAGACACACACAGACAGACAGACACACACGGGCACACGCAGGCAGACACACACGCAGACAGACACACACAGACACACACGCAGACAGACACACACACACAGACAGACACACGGGCACACGCAGACAGACACACACGCAGACAGACACACACACAGACAGACACACGGGCACACGCAGGCAGACACACGCAGACAGACACACACGCAGACAGACACACACACAGACACACGGGCACACGCAGACAGACACACACGCAGACAGACACACGGGCACACGCAGACAGACACACACGCAGACAAACACACAGACAGACACACGGGCACACGCAGGCAGACGCACGCAGACAGACACACACACAGACAGACACACGGGCACACGCAGACAGACACACACGCAGACAGACACACACACAGACATACGGGCACACGCAGGCAGACGCACACAGACAGACACACACACAGACAGACACACGGGCACACGCAGGCAGACACACGCAGACAGACAGACACGCAGACAGACACACACACAGACACACGGGCACACGCAGACAGACACACACGCAGACAGACACACACACAGACACACGGGCACACGCAGACAGACACACGCACACGGGAACACGCACAGACAGACACACGGGGACACGCAGACAGACACACGCAGACAGACACGCAGGCAGGCAGACGCAGACACACAGACAGACACATGCAGACAGACACACACAGACAGACACACGCAGACAGACACGCAGGCCGGCAGACGCAGACACACAGACAGACACACGCAGACAGACACACACAGACAGACACACGCAGACAGACACGCAGGCAGGCAGACGCAGACACACAGACAGACACACACAGACAGACACACGCACACAGACACACGCAGACAGACACGCAGGCAGGCAGACGCAGACACACAGACAGGCACACGCAGACAGACACACACAGACAGACACGCAGGCAGGCAGACGCAGACACGCACACGTGGTAACGGGAGCGTTAGTGTCAGCACTAAAACTGGGTCACACGTGGTAACGGGAGCGTTAGTGTTACCACTAAAACTGGGTCACACGTGGTAACGGGAGCGTTAGTGTCACCACTAACACTGGGTCACACGTGGTAACGGGAGCGTTAGTGTCACCACTAACACTGGGTCACACGTGGTAACGGGAGCGTTAGTGTTACCACTAAAACTGGGTCACACGTGGTAACGGGAGCGTTAGTGTTACCACTAAAACTGGGTCACACGTGGTAACGGGAGCGTGTTACCACTAAAACTGGGTCACACGTGGTAACGGGAGCGTTAGTGTTACCACTAAAACTGGGTCACACGTGGTAACGGGAGCGTTAGTGCTACCAGCATTTGTCATAATTGTTTTTCGTGTAAGTGTGTTATTATTATTGGTTGTTATTTTGATTGTGATTGTAATTTTTAGTTTAAGAGAAACATTTGTTTAAATACATTTGATTTCGTAATTATCATTTTTCATAAAAGTCAGCTGCCCCCTCACTTTGGAACTCTCTCCCAAAACAAATCCGTGACTGCACCGAGCTTCCAGCGTTCAAATCATTGACTAAAACTCACCTTTTTAAAATTGCTTTTAATGTTTAGCTCAGCTTGATGCGTCTTTAGTGTTTTTACCATTTGATGTTGTTTTTGCTGCTTTCATGATTTTATGTAAAGTGTCTTTGAGCATTCAGAAAAGCGCTCACAAATAATACGTATTATTATTAATATTTCTTGTTACTTATTCGCTACATTTTATTTTATGACTTTTGAGAAATACATTCGAACTATTATTGTTTTTACGTTACTTTTTTTTAAATTATACTTTTTATACAGCAAAGACAAAGATCCCCCGGGTAGCCTTAACGGACTGTTTGGGGGCAAGTGCTGTTAGCGAGCGGCACCTACGAAGGCCGGCACGGCACACGACTAGGTGGGTGGCCAGCACCACGCCCGGCCGCCTCTGTCTCCCCCAATGGCAATATTTACTCACCGCACCGGGTACTCATTTGAGGCCGAGTCGACCCAGGGGAGGCCTGGGACCGGTTCAGATAATCGTCACTGGGTGTTGGCCGCGGGCGGGGATCGAAGCGCAGAGCGGTGCTAACCGCTGCGCCACCGCTCCCCCACTACTTTTTGTTTTACTACGCGGACACGCGCGAACGTGAACTCCCATCTCACCTTCTGCTTGGGGGCCACCCTGGCATACACCCTCACGTGGGGCAGCAGCCTCCGCAGCAGAGCCGCGTGCTCCGAGCCCAGCCTGGCGAGCCCCTCCCCCGTCACGCACAGGTCGTACGTCCCCACAAAGTCATCCGTGCCGTCCGGGACCTCCGGCAGCGCCACGGCGCCGTCTGTCGACTCCCACCGCCAGGGCTTGGCCTCCGCGCCTCCGGCTGGCCGCGGATCAAGGGGTCGAGAGGAGAGGTCACGCGGCGGCTGGGAGATGTTGACTGGCTCGCCGGGCACGCTGGAGGTCGTGGGGTCCGATCGCGACTGCCCCCGGCGCCCGTCGTACATTTGGAGTTTGCGTGCGTGTGTCTCTCTCTCTCTCTCTAGGTCTCCGCGGTCACGTGGATGGCTGAACGAAGTGGTTTATCGTGATCATCGCGTGGAAATTAGAGTAGCCAAATACGCTCAACGAGTGACGTTGATTCTTAAATGCGGAGGGGGAACACCGGAGGACCCGGCTGAGATCCCTGGCCCCCGGCTGCCGCTGATGAAGAGGTCAAGAGTGGAGGTCGCGGTGGGGCTAGGAGATACTCTTTGACTCTTTCGGTAAAGTCACGTAGGTAGAAAAATAAAACAAAAGAATAAAAGTATACGCGACGTTTGGATCGTAACACAAGGACGACCGCTTGCGTTGCGATCAAAACGTCGTGATATTTATTTTTATTTTTATACCAACCACGTGGCTTTACCGAAAGAACCAAAGAGCATGGATTCCTGCAGTCACGAAAGCTTCCAATCAAGATTGGCTATGAGATGTTGACTACCTCGCCTGGTATGCAGGAGGTCGTGGGTTCGATCCCGACCCTGACGATGCCTGCTGCTGTATATTTGGAGTCTGCGTGTCTCTCTCTCTCTCTCATCATCATCACGGTGGCTAGGAGATGTTGATTACCTCGCCTGGTGTACAGGAGGTCGCGTGTTTGATCCCGACCCTAAAGCCTGCTGCTGTATATTTGGAGTTTGCGTGTCTCTCTCTCTCTGTCATCATCATCACGGTGGCTAGGAGATGTTAACTACCTCGCCTGGTGTACAGGAGGGTGTGGGTTTGATCCCGACCCTGACAATGCCTGCTGTATATTTGGAGTCTGTGTCTCTCTCTCTCATCATCATCACAGTGGCTAGGAGATGTTAACTACCTCGCCTGGCGTACATGAGGTCGTGGGTTCGATCCCAACCCTGACGATGCCTGCTGCTGTATATTTGGAGTTTGCGTGTCTCTCTCTCTCTCTCTCTACCCGTGGTCGCGTGGATTTTCCTCCGGACCCACCGTTTTTTTCACACCCCACGTTTGGAAATCAACGCCGCCGCCGCCGCCGCCGCCGCCGGGCGTTTCAAGACTATTCGGCCGCCAGGACTTTCCACGCGACGCCGGCGACCCCGCTGCATTCCGCTAAAAACTTGCGATAGCCGCGTACCCCTTCCGAAAGCGAGCTACGTAGGCAGTAGCAGCTCGGCGTGCCCCCTCGCACCCGGCAAAAAACGATCAGTCGATCAAGTTCCCGTGCCCGCCGTGTCTCCCGGACGACACCAACCCACCACCACCACCACCACCACCCGGCCCACCCCCACGAAAGATTTTACCTGCGTCCTGAGGACCGCGCAAGACGAGGGTTTTGTCTCGACGTGTGAAGTTCAGCTCGGAGGCGACGTGGCAGGCGGTGAGAGGGTTGTCGCCCGTGATCATCACCACCTTTGGGCGTCGTGACCACGGAGGGGAGGGGGGGTGAGGTAGCGGGGGGTGAGGATTGCCATGCGTCTAGCTCTGGAGCGGCGGTTCTTGACCATAACTGCAGC